AAAAAAAAAAAGAGAATCTACCACATTAGGAGACATATACATTAAGCATAAAATATTTAATAGTAATTAATTTCTAGAGGTAATTCAAATGGCACAGCAACTATTTCTTATACAGCCTAGTGAAATCAATTATGGATATTTATGGTTAAGACTGTCTTAAAAGATCTGCTTCCAAACTATGGTTCATGTGAGAGATGAATATATCTCCTTTTATGCTTAATCCCTGCTATGGATTACTGCCTCGGTTTTGAACTAATCCTATTACCATTCTGGAGACCTACCTGTGACTGGCAACCATCTTCCATACTAACAGAAGAGTCTTCTTAAATGGCAAATGATCCTCAACAGGGTCACCTTGGCTTAGATCAGTCCTACCAGATACAACAGGACACAAAAGTGTAACTTCAGAGGGCTGGGTATAGCTCCGTGGCACAAGTGCCTGCCTGACAGACAAGCACAAGGTCCTGAGTTTGATTCTCAGTACAAAAAAAAAAAAAGGAAGTGTAACTTCACAAATGGTAATGTTTCTCCTAGGTGGGTAATGAGGTTTTCTCACAGGACAGTGCTCCTAATTAACATCTGGAGGAACATAACACCATAGAAATAAAAATATATTTAATGCCTCCATAGGAAACAGAAACTCCTGAATATTCTCTTATTTACCACTCTTCTCCTTTTTATCAAGTACAGTACAAATCTACAAATGCCAGTCCCTTTTCTAATCTTGCTGGAGTTGCTTTGTAGCACCTATGACCTTAAAGAACTGGTCTATGAACTGAGCAATTTATGTGGCACACACCTGTAATCCCAGCACTCGGGAGGCCGAGGCAGGACAATCACTGTGAGTTCGAGGCCAGCCTGGGCTATAAAGTGAGTTCAAAGCCAGTCTCCTCTCAGAAAAAGACAAAAAAAAAAAAAGAACTGGTCTATGAAAGTAATCTTTGTTCAACAATGTTTCCCAAGTACCCTAAACAGAGCACAGCACACAAAAGGTGTTCAGTAAGTATTTGGTATATTAATCTGGTCCTCTTTTTATGCAGAAATATGCTCTTGCCCACATTTCCACAAAAGGAAATATTCAGCTTCATATATCAAATAACTATCTTATATAGTAAATAATTATCTTACATAGTGAATAATTATCTCATATGGTGAATGTTACACAATTTCACTATTGTTCCTTTTCATTCTTCCCTACATAGTACTCTTTAAGATATCACCTATGAAAAATTTACTTCTCATGACCCTTCCTTCCTTCCCTTGGCCAACTTGTCTAATTTATCTAGCTTTCCTTCAGAGGTGCAACAGTTCAATGTACTATTTCATTTTATAGTTTTCCCAGTCAACAACTTTTGTTTACTGCAGACTTAAATACCGTTGTAATTTCCATTTTATACAGCACATCATCCCTTCCAGGAGGGCTCTCTTCATACCTCAGGCTTCACACTCTCACTCTGCATTATGTTCCAGGTGGCGTACAACCATGTGACACAACACTCACTCCCCTTCTCTAATTTGAGGATCTCCACATAACTATTCATGTTCATTCTCACCTACACCTAAATCACTACAAAAAATCACGTAACTTTACTACAGTCCTTAGCCAATGTATCCTTAAATGAATTATTTACAAAACTAAATGCTGCTATTACACAGCCCTATTAGTGTAAGGCACTTAAAACAATTTTTTAAAGGTTTTGGTGCTTCAATTTTCTTTTCTTTCTGGTGATACAGTGCTTTGTTTAGAAAAAGATAAAACACCACTGATTCTAAAATAATTTTTCCTTTAAATGGCATACCAATTAGACATGAGGCAGTCCAGGATGGCAGATGCATTACATACTGAATACACAATAAATATACATTGACTGAAAAACACCTTAGTTATCCACTGATTCATTCTGCATTTCCACTGTTCATCTTTCATGTCAATTTTCTTTGCCCTTTGTAAATCCCTTTTTTCCTTGCTTTTAAATCAACTTTTGGCTCTGCTTTTACTCGTTGCATTTCTATTGGTTTTTCCTTGGCTGGTACAGCAAAAAACTCTTCAGTGCGATCATACAGAGGAATCTTCTTTGGCTCTTTCTCAGCTTCTCTTTGTATTCTGTAGCTATGATGGATCTTACGCAAACGCATGTTTGATGATGGGTAGTGGTGATTTTTTTTTTTTTGAGACAGGGTCTCACTATGTAGTACAGGCTGGCCTTGAACTCACTTTTACAGCCAAGGCTGGCTTCAGCCTCCCAAATCCTAGGATTACAGGTGTGTGCCACCACAGCAGGCAAATTTTCATATAACGTTGGTCCTCCAAAATGGCCCTGAAAAATCTTTATCAGATTTAACACAAAATGAGGTCCTACTTCTACAAGTTGAGCATATTATGCTATGATGTGAAAGTTCTGAAATCACATCCTATTATCCAAAAGAGTGACAGTAAATATGTGGTCCACAAATCGCTGGCTTTTGGGATGATACTGTGGTGTCTGAATTAAGCATTTGTTTAATAAAGCATAACGTGGCAATTCATCAAAAGCAGGGTCAATACCAGGCATGGTGGCGCATGCCTGTAATCCCAGCACTTGGGAAGTTGAGGCAGGAGGATCACTGTGAGTTCAAGGCCAATCTGGCCTACAAAGTGAGTTTAAGGCCACCATGAACTCCATAGTGAACCCCTGTCTCAAAAAGACCAAAGAAACCCAAAACAAAACAACAAAAAAAAACCCAGAAAACAAACGCAGGGTCAAAAGACAAAAGCAGCTGAGACTCTTTCAAATAGCTTCCAGTTGTCTTTAGTTCAGCTAGGGTATGAATATTTTGAACAAGGAATTGGGCAGAAGGCCCATATGGGGAATTTGAAAGCGACATATAAAGACCCTGTTTTTTCTTAGCTTTAAAATAGATGTATTTATTGTAGTTTTTCATTTCACAGGCCTCACTAATCATAAATAATTTATCTTTATGATCCATTTTATATCTGCTTTAGAATGAGACACAAACAATTCATTAAATGTCTTGTTCTGAAATGCATTCCTCTGGAAGAAAAGGTGAAAACCTGTTATTTTTCTACTTGCCCTGTAAACGGGGTCTCTCTCTTATTCTCCATTTCTTCTGCCACAATTGGTGACTTAGCTAAAGGTCTGGTATCTTTTTTGTTTCGTTTTGGCTTCTTTACCTAGCTACACCAGCAACACCTGTGTCATTTTCTCTTGGTTGCCACCATCTTGCCTCGCCACCTTCAATTTTCTTCCTGAAACAAATTTCTTCTTGCCAGGCATGGTGGCACACGCCTGTAATCCCAGCACTCAGGAGGCTGAGGCAGGAGGATCGTTGCGAGTTTGAGGCCAGCCTGGGCTACAAAATGAGCTCAAGGCCAGCCTGAACTGCACAGCGAGACCCTGTCTCAAAAAGAAAAAAAACAAAACAAAAAACAAATTTCTTCCTTCACTTCTGGTCATGCAACCAGAATGAATATTAGCTCCTTGGTACTAGTACTGATACAACTTCATTCACACATCCATCTAACAGAGTAACCCCTAAATTCTGTAACCTCATAATCAACCAACTTTTTTTTTCTGATGGTATTTGGAAAAGAACTCAGGGCCTCACATGTTTAAGCAAATGCTCTATCACTGAGCTACATCCCCAGCCCTTTTTATTTTTTTTGAGACAGTGTCTTGCTAAGTTAAATTGCCAAGGCTAGTCTCAAGCTTACAGTCCTCCTGCCTCAGCCTTCCAAGTAGCTGGAATTACAGGAATGCACCACCATGCCCAGTAACATCTGCCATCTTTTAAGAAACAATTCCTTGTCTACCTTTATTTCCACCTATATAGAAATGAATGCCACACAACTACAAGTGAAAATAAAAGCAAGGATGTAGAACAGGACTTCAGACTGGCAATAGTGCTCCAAAGGCTACAGTGCACAGGACAGACTAAAGGAGGAGCCAGAGAAGAAAAAAAGGAGCTGGGGGGGGGAAATATACATATATATACATACACATACATACATGTTTTTTGGAGGGAGGAATTTCAGGCTGGATCTTGGTATGTAATTCAGGCTCACTTTGTTTTTTATTTATTTATTTATTTATTGTTTGTTTTCTTTTTGAGACAGGGTCTCACTATGCAGTTCAGGTTGGCTTTGAGCTCACTCTGTAGCCCAGGCTGGTCTCAAACTCACTACGATCCTGCCTCAGCCTTCCGAGTGCTGGGATTACAGGCGTATACCACCACACCCAGCCTTTCAGGCTCACTTTGAACTCACTATGTAACCCTAGCTGGCCTTGAACTCACAACAATCCTCCTGCTTCAGTCTCCTGAGTGCTGGCATTATAAGTGTGTAACACTACACCTAGCTCAATATCTCTGTATCTCTATATCTTTTTTTTTTCCTATCCAATGGCTGGGGATCAAAGCCAGATAGGGAAGTATTCCACCACTGAGCTATACCCTCAGCCCTATACTTACAGTTCTGAGGAGTTGGCATGGCTGAAAAGGATATCCACTAGTGGAGTTTCCTGAATGCTGAAGCCATCATCAGAGTCTCCTGAAGCGGGCTGATCTTCCATCTCTGAAGTATACCCTTCACCCTGGTCTTTCCCTCTGGATTCTTGCTGAGCCTCCCCCTGAGAATTCCAGGAAACTTTAGAAAGAGATTTACTGATAATTTTACTTGTATAAAGTAAATGAAAGCTGACCTTCAAGTGAGAAAAGGCCAAGTATATACAGCCAAAAGAGAAATCAGAGAATGCTAACTTAACTAGGCCTAACTCAATGAATTCTTAGTAATAATCTTGGGTGAAGAACTGAAGACTCTACTCTCCTACCCTCAAAATGAAAAAGAAGTTATTTATTCAATTTTCATCGGATGCTATACTCATTAATATCATAGCACCTGTTGTCCTGGACTTAAAATGTGTAGCTGGGCAAGTAATACTAATAATGATAATGGCATTCTAAATTTTACTATTTACCATAACAAGGGACTGTACTGTTTTACATGAATTTTCTCATTCATTCATTAATTTGAGATAAGGTCTAGCTATGTTGCCTAAGCTGGTCTCGAATTCCTGGCTCAGCTGATCTTCTTGCCTCAGTCTCAGTCAGAACAACAGCTATGTACCACCAACCCAAACTGGATTGTGTCATTTAAACCTCAAAGCAGGCTGGGGATTTAGCTCAGCAGTGCAGTGCCTGCGGGTCAAGTGTGAGGTCCTGAGTTCGATTCCCGGTACCAAAAGAAAAAAGAAAAAAAAAAGAGTGGACAGTTAAATCTCAAAGCAAACCTACAAAATGGAGTTCCATTATCTCATTTGCAGCAGGGAAAATTGAGGTTCTGAAATGACAGTAACATGCCTATGATTACATAACTAAAACTGATGCTACACCAGCATTTGGACTCAAGTAGTCTTAAATCTCTGTATTCAGCTTGTGTGCTCCGACCAAGCACTTGGCTCTGCCTGGTCATGAAGACCAACCAGACAGCTGATCTGAGTTAGTCACTCACCTCTTCTCTCTCCGTGGGTAGTCCCTGAGTTGCACAAATATCTGAGGGGGCTGGAGTCACTTCTGGCTTTCTGTTTTTTCTCAACAGCTTCTCTTCAGCTACTAAGGAGTCTATCTTGGTTAAAAGTTCTTCAGTGTCGCTGCAAGGGTCCCCTTCTCCTTCGGTAGCTTCAATTTTCCTTCCCTCTTGTTGCCTGATACCAGGTGGAGGGCAGCAGCCTTCACTTGATGCTTTGCTGCTAATGCACAATGGTTCCATTAAATAAGCTACCTGCAATCAAAATTTATTATTAGATGCACAGGAACCCCAAAATCATCCTCCCTACATCAGTGATGCTTACATGGTTGCTATGACTCAGTCTGAGAAGGCAAAAAAGTTTACTTCATCAATATTTACCAAGTATCTTACATACACAGGCACTGGGTTAGTTGCTAGGGATGTTGTATTGAACAGGACGTAGTTCTTGCCTCTTCCGGGAGCTTAAGTTTCAATTTTCCATGTGAATGTCAATTCTGATCAATTGGAAGTGGCTGCCTAGACAACTTGAAAATTTTGTCAGCTATAGACACTAAGTGGCAACATCTGCGCTGGCTATTTGCTGATTCTGACCTAGGTTCTCTTCAATTGTAGCATTAATACAAACTCTCTGTCCCAATCTATTTCTGGTCCTCAGGCCCTATCTAAGTTAATTAGGACACTAAAATACTGCTAATGAGCTAGGCATGGTGGCACGTGCTGTAATCCCAGCACTCGGAGGTTGAGACAGAAGGATCAAGGTAAGTTCAAGTTCAGCCTGCACTACATAGAGACCCTGTCTCAAAGAAAAAAACACTGCCAGAAACTGGTAGCTATTCAGCAGGCTGAGGCAGGAGGATCCTAAGTTTGAGGCCAGACTTGGCAACACAGCAAAACTCTTGTCTCAAAATAAAAAATAAAAAAGACTGCAGGTGTAGCTCAGTGAGAGATCCTGGAGTTCAACACCCAGTGCCACCACACACTCCCACAAAACAGAATCTTTGAAGCCAAAATATTTTAAGCTTTAAGAAAAGCTTGGGCAAGTGTAACCTCCCATGACTGAAAGAATGAATTGCAAGGACACTCATAAGGCTGTCCTGCGTACAGAAATCTCACTTCCTGTGATTCAGGCTCCCAAGGACCGGGTGGGGGTGAGGGTTGCCTTAAAAACATGCATTCAGAATATATTTTGTTGCATATTCTGTATCACCACCCAATGCAGGGACACAGCAGTGAGCTTAGCCACTTCCACTGTGGAATGTATATTTTAGTTAGCAATTTTGAGAGGGAGAGACAAGTAAGGGTAAGTATTCTTAAAAAGTTGAGGTTCTTCCAGCTTTGGGAATAACAGCTCCTTGTTACCTCAGAGAGAAACTGAAGGAGGTTCTGGCAGCTGACTTGCTCTGCTTCTTCCTGAGATTCCTCACTGCCTCCGTCCCCCACAAACAGCTCACTAGGTTCTCTTCCTGGGCTGCTTTCCTCTGGTTCCTCCGCCTCTGGATCCTCAATTTCCCTCCAGTTGCCCACATCGAGATCCAGACTGGAGTCCCATGAGCTGAAGAGGGATGTGTAGTTGTTGCTCAACTCAGAGTCATGACAGTCTCGTTCAGAATCCAACCAAACCCACTCATGTCCCATCTGTAAACATACAGAAAACGCATTAAATTCATTTAAATCAATATTCTTAAAGCATCTGTATTCCAAATTCAGCAGAAAGGGCCAGGATGTAAGTTAGGTAATAAAATACATTGTAAGATGAAATGATCTTTGTTTTTTGGAATAAGCAGCAGCTTCATGCCAATAATATAGAGATATTACCCAATAGGTTTTTTACTTGGATGTCCTCATACTGCAAAAGGGAAAGAATTAGAGCATAACTAGCTTAACAGACTTTGCCTATCCCAAATCACCCATAAATTCGCCTACAATAAACTTTATGGAAGGGGGAAAGGGGTATATCCTTTGCATATACATTTACCCTATTAACCATTCAACATAATTAAGATTACCTTTGGCATCCTTCTGGTCATATCCAACTGTCACATCTGAGAGTAAAACTGAAACAATGAGCTTTAAAATTTCTTTGTTCACTGCACTATACTACTATCCTGCTTTTTTTACACCTTTGCTTCTACTTTTCACAACTTTCAAGGAAGTCTTTTCTCCTGTTTCTGCTTGGCCCTCTGCTTACTGGTGCTTCCTTTTAAAAAAGTGTTCCCACTACTTAAGAGACTGAAGCAGAAAGACTGCAAGTTCCAGGCCAGCCTGGGCAATACTGCAAGATCCTGTTTTAAAAAGAACTGCTACTACCGCTACCCTACTAATGATAAATGCGTGCACATGCACACACACATACACGTATATATTTAGAGGTTTCAACTTTACTATTGAAGTGGCTCCCAAAACTATCCCTTTATTGTTTTTGCAGTCCTGAGACTCAAACCCAGGTCTAATGCACGCTAGGGCAAGGGCTCTTCCACTGAGCTACAACCCAGCCCCCACCTTTACTTCTTACATGCATGCTGCTGTCACTTCTCCACTCATCTAAAAATCAGTTCCCCTTAGACGTCCTATCAACTGCTTCAACTGAACATTTCTAAAACTAAAATCACCTTTCTTCCTACCTCCAAAATCATTTCTTCTCAATTTCCTTACCTCTATTTACCAATACTATTTTCTTAAAGTCTATAAAAACCCATTTTTTTTTCTCTTATGTTCAGTGAGCAAGTCTTCCCAGCTTTCACAATTTTTCTGTGTTCTTGAACAAATGCCAGCCTGGGTTTGTTTCTCCCCCAGCACTAGGGATTGAACCTAGGGCTTCTCTCATGTTAAGCAAATGCTCTAACCACTAGACTAAGCCCTAATTTTTAAAATCTTTTTTTGACAGTGTCTCCCTATGTAACCCAGGCTGCCCTTGAACTTCCAGTCATTCTCCTGCCTCACCCTCCTAGGTGCTGGAATTACAGGCTTGTGCCACCACATCTGGCTCTTTTTAAAATCTTAAGGTCTTACTAAATTCCCCAGCCTTAACCTCTGTAGTAGTTGGGATTGCAGGAATGTGCCACCATGCCTGGCTATTTTAACCCAGCCAGCATTCAGTAACCTCACCGCTTTCAAATAGCTATTCCACACACAAATTTCTCAACCTGCCAGACTTCCATAGGTTAGCCCTATTTTGTTCCCTTTTCCAGTGTAGGTCACTATTCCTTAATGTAGCCCCCACTCGTTACATTTGCCTGCTTACTGCCACCATAAATGCCTATACCTTGGACCTTTTCCAGACTTTTCCAACTTTGAGTGCTTCTGTGTTTATATCACAAGTTGTAGACTGCTTTGGTAACAAAGACCTTTTGTGTGTGTGTGTGTGTATGGTGCCAGACATGGGACTGAGGGCTTTAGGCATGCTAGGCAAGTGCTCTGCCACTGAGCAAAACAGGTCAGCCTTCAAATGGCAATGCTAATTACGAACTCCTTGCCAGGCACTGTGGTGCACATCTGTAACCCTAGCTACTTGGGAGACTGAGGCAGGAGGATTATGAGTTTGAGCCCATCCTAGGCAACTTGGTAAGACTATCTCAAAAAAAAAAAAAAAAACAAACAACTCTTTACACAAGAGTACTACCTACAGAAATAGTCCTACCTACAGAAATAATTAACACCGTAGCGTAGAACTATCATTTGCAAAGACAGCACTGAGACAATTATTACTGAGATAATGGTTTCTGTGCATTTTTAATCCTAAAGCAGTGCCATAAACAGAACTTTAAAAGCCTTAAACTTTCTTATTCAAGAAAAGATGTTCCTTATTGCAACTTACTTTAAAACATTGGTTATTTACCTCCTCTCAGCTGTAGCAGGCAGCTCATAAGACCACCTTTCCTCTCTAAACAATCTCACTCCCACATCAGTTATCACGTGGAAGTCCTGAGTTACAAACTCATGTATGCATGCGCGTACAAACACAAAGGACAAGGCAAGGGCTAGAGTTTTCTTTCAGTTTATTTTATACATACACACTTCACAGGTTTATTTTTTTAAAAAGTCTGTATACTTCACAAGACAGTACAAACTAGCTACAGTCTGCTAGCTACACGCTGGGGCATTAATACAGCCCATGATTTGTGCCCTAGAACAGGCAACTGTGCTGTTCTGAGAGTTCCTCAGCTCATGTCATGTGGCCCAGGCATCTTCTCACGTAACTTCCACTTCCAGAACTGGGCCCACAAGCCCAAGCGCTATCTTGTTTACTTCTGTTTCACATTCAGCTCAAAGATGATACTCTACAGTTTCACTTTTTCATCTTCATGTCTGCTTCAATGGCACAGCGACGTCCCCTGGTTCCCCCATCCTAGGTGATAGCAGAAAAAAGAAAGGGAGCGAGAGTGAGCTGGTTAGGAAGAAGAGACAAGATGCAACACAAATGTTGGGGAGTTTCATCTCTTGGGGGAAGAGGAGAGAATCAACAAAAAACTCCAAAGGACCAAACAAAAAACAAAAAAACAAAAAACCTCCAAAGGACCAAGGGGGCATATTTCTGGCTCCCCACAAAGTACCTATAGAAACACCTGGTAGGTTGTGAAGGTAAATACAGGACAGAGTATCTTGCTCATGCCCATCACAGAGGTCCTTGGAATTCAACTAGGGTCCCACAGAATCACTATGTACTAGTCATCCCACCCAGGCCCAAATCATGTACAAAGGAACAGAAAGAGTAAGTGAAAGGTTAGAAGAGACAGAAAGGGCAGGGATAGTAATTCTTGGCTAACATACCTGTCCAGCTGTTGATCCCTATAAGAAAGGCCTTTCCTGCAGACTGACCCTGGCACTAGTTCCCTAGCACCTCCTGACAGGTGTTTTCCATGAGATCAGGACAATCAGGCTTCTTTCCATCTGCTGCTCTCTCCCTGCAGCCCAGCTCCTTCCTCTTGTGCAATACTTTGCTGTCTTCAATAGATAAAAGATCCTATTAACCAGCCTGTAATAGTCAGCCAACTGTTGGGGATCCAGAGTCACTGTTGCAGGCCAGTAAGAACGGAGATCATAGTGTTCTGTTGTTGTACAGGCTGACAGGCCTGTAGGCAAGATGAACTAGTGAACACTTTTGCTGGGCCAGACCATTTTAACATTTTTTTTTTTTCCTGGTATAGGGGATCAAACCCAGGATCTCAGCACATGCTAGCCAAGTGCTCTACCACTGAGCTACAGTCCCCATTTTTACATTCTTAACATGCTAGGACTCTAAAATTTTTAGAACTCATGAATGTAAGGTGTCTATGAGGCAACAGTAAGAATAAAAATACCACCTTGCATTTGGATAACACTTTTAATTTTTTTCAAGTCCGTTCCATACTCATAACTCTAATTTCATCCTCACAACATCCCTGTGAGGTAGGCTGGACAGGTACTTCAGGATATTAGTTCTATTACACAGATGAGGAAAACAAGGCCCCAAGAAAGTATCCGATGACCTTAAGACCATATAGTATTTTGCCTGATGCCCCTTCCATTATATCATGCCTCACTACTCTACAATGAACAACAGAGTCATTAAGAATTAAGTCTCTAGAGTAGCTAAAGTAAGTTTATCTAATTTCATCAGCCACTCCTGTATGAAGCAGTCTATGTTATAGATCATTAGCTTAAGTTTTACTAACTGTGTATCCGGCATTAAGTCTTATAACTTTTAGGAAAAAGGTGAAAAACTATGTACTACGTATTTGCCAGTATGAGGAACACCACAAAAATGTAGCAGTAGCAACTCTGAACAATCTTCTATTTTTAAGAAATGTATTGGCCAGTGGTGGAGTCAAGAAATGAAGAGCAAATTTTTTCACCCCTCTACCCCAAAATACTTCATAAAATGAATCCAACAATCTCATAAATAGTCCCTTACCCAGCCCGTGCACACACACACACATGCAAAACAGACAGAAATGCAGAAGAAAAGGCAGTTTCTTATTTAATGACCTGAATAAACAGAAGTTTAAGACATTGCCACAGTCTGCACGCTGGATTTTCCCCTGCCACCCACCCCCAGCAGGAGCTGAGAATCTTTCTGGTAATACCACCCCTTGCAGCCATTCAATACTTACAAAGAGAGAGAGAAGGAAGGCAGGAGAGCCCATGGGGACACTGTCCTGTTAGAGGACAAACAAACACTGATCAGGTTCCACAGAAACTCTCAGCCACAAGCACCCCAAACCTCAGGACAGAGACACAAGCACCATACACACAGACAAAATTTTAAAACTCAAGAACAAGAGGAGAGAGATCCAAAAGCAACCTAGCCACTATGACACTGGAATGGGAACTGATAGACCTCAACTGCACCAAGCTATGTCATTTCTCCCACCTTGAGGGCACTCTCCCAAAGGAATTAGTAATTCACTCGCACCACCAAAAATTCCTCAGATAACTGGGTCTCTCAGAGAAGGTTTCTTCAGTGTTTGATGGGAGCAAACAACTACCATTCTAATATCGAATTATCTCTATATCATGAAAGTACAAGCTTGGCAGTGCAAAGTAGTAACGTTAAGTTCTTTGGATGCTTTAGATTTCTAGCACTGGAACACTAGCAAACAGGCTCTTTGCTGGTCTCCTCACCTTCTCAGAAGCATCCTGTTTTCGGGTAGAATCTCTCCCTCGGAGACTTTTAGCACTGATCCCAGACTCAGACGTTTGCATAATCAACTGTGTGGCCAAGAATTGCTGTAAGGATAAGAAACAGAGTTGGCCATACAGACCTGATCCAACAAGGAAGAACCTAAAGCTGTGTAAATAGGGTTTTTCTTTCCTTTTTTTTTTTGAGACAGAGTCTCACTATGTAGTCCAGGCTGGCTTTGAACTCATAGCAATTCTCTTGCTTCAGCCTCCTGAGTGCTGGGACTACAGGGGTGCACCACCACACCCAGCTGTAAATAGGATTTTGTATGTACCCCTCCACTCAAATACCTATTTTTTGGTGGTGCTGGGGACTGAACAAAGGACTTTGGGCATTCTGCTCGAATATCTTTTTGCTGGTGGTGGTAGTCAGGGGGAATGGGGTATATTAGGCAAGCATGCTATGCTGCTATAGCCCTAGCCCTTTTTGACTTACTAGAAATTTAGTAATTAATTTTTATTTTATTTTTATTTTTTAATTTTTAATTTTAGTTGTAACAGCCATCCTAAATAATCTGAAAGGGCCAGGGACGGTGGCACACACCTGTAATCCCAGCACCTTGGCAGGCTGGGGCCAGCCTGGGCTATATAGTGAGACCTGTCTCAAAAATAAATAAATAAATAAAATAACATAAATAAATACATCTGAAAATGCCAAATAGCTCTATAAATTCCTCACGAGAACAAAAATCAGGTTGGGGATATAGCTCAGTGGCACAAGCGCCTGCCTGGCAAGTGCAAGGTCCTAAGTTCAATTCCCGGTACAAAAAAAAAAGGAACAAAAATCTCTACCCTCTAAGAATAAGAAAAAGAATATTAGTATAATGAACCAAAGGCCATTCCTCAATGACAATAATTTGACAGACTCTGCAAAGACACATCATTCCCTTAAGGTTCAATATTTCAAAGGGTGGCTGGTAATGCAACTTCGGACAGAAGTTATCTAGCTCATGAAAAGGGAAAGAGATGGAACTTTTCGTTGAGTACACATATTCGATACTTTGCATAATTAAAAAATATACATTATTTAAATTTTATTTGAAAACTTCATGATGGGGATATAGTTCAGTGGTAGAGCACTTGTCTAACATCCCTGAGGCATTATATTTGATTCCTAGCTCTATAAAAATTAGAAATTAAAAAAGAGCCAGGCATGATGACACATGCCTATAATCCTAGCACTCTAGGAGGCTGAGGCAGGAGGATTACAAGTTCAAGCCCAGCCCAGGCAACTTAGAATCTCTCAATATAATAAATAGTGGAAAAACTAAATAAATAAAAATAAAAAATAATGGGCCAGGGATATAGCTCAGCAGCATAGTGCCTGCCTCATAAGGGCGAGGTTGCTGAGTTCAATTCCTGGTAAGGGGGGATATATATGTACGTGTGTAAAATAAAAATTTAAAAGAAGGCTGGGAATATAGCTCAGTGTGAAGACCTTAGGTTCAATTCCTAGTGACATACATAATCAATTCTTCAGAAAACTGAAGTTATTTGCCCAAGACCAACTCTTCTATCATAACTTCCTCACCAAGAGCAAAGAAAAATCAACCAAGATGAGCCAAAACACAGTATTATGTTACTGGGTCCCACATGGTTATTCCAAGTAAAAGCCACAGCACCTTTTTCTGTTAAAACAAAGGATCCCCAAAGTACCTGTATTTGTTCCAAGACATCTCGCTGCATCTCCACTGCCATGTGATAGACATCATGGTCAGAGCTATTATACATTACAGCATTCTGAAACATCAGCATAATGTCACGCTGAAATTCAGCAGTACTGCGGATCAGTCCATTTTCAATGTTTTTTTTAATAGTTGACAAATCCATAGGTCTAAAAACAAAAAGAACAAGCGTAAATGGCAGAGGGAACAAAAAGAGGACTCCCCTGAATTTCTAAGTACTTGTCCCTATACAGACCTTCTCATATCTACCTTCAGTCTCCCACTGCCATAATTCAAAATGACAACCCCTTGTCCCAAAACATGCATTAAACCCAGAAAGCCATCAGTTTGTGTATCATAAGCATTGAGAAAAGAAATAAAAGGGGCTTCTCTTAGACTGCTGGTGACCCGGACCCTGGAACGGCCAGTTTAGCACACAGTTACTCTTACATAAAAATGTTTGCCTTAAACTTATATCTAAAGCCAAAATTCACAAAGTCTAAATGACTTACAATTCAGGTAAGTCAGCATGCTGGATGGACCATGGCTTACCTTTGTACAATGCTGTGGTAACCAGGTGCTATATCATCTGTAACAGGCTGCAGAAAGACATTGGCGTATCTGTACAAAAACAAAATAAAATTTAATTTAAAAAAATACACTGCAATTTCTGACTTATTTTTCAGGCTCACAAGGGAAGGAACTTACTGTTAAGTGGCTGAAAATAGTAAAAACCAGCACAAGCAGTCCCACAAAAGCTCACTCAAGACTTTTTCTGGTCACCCAACAAAGAAGAGCAAGAGAAAATGAACCTATTGATTGGTAAGGTCCACTCACCTATGATTAGCTGCAGCCCTCCATACAAGCATGATGGCTTTCTTCCAGATTTTCTGGGCCTGAATAGCTTCTTGATCCTCACTACAGACAGAGCTGAAATAGAGACACAGGAATTCTACTAGGTGCAAGTTTTTTAGAAGTCCTAGCTAGGAGTGGGACACATTCCAATAATCCCAGCTCTTGGGAGGCTGAGGAAGGATGGTCACACAGAGTTCAAGGCCAAGATGGGCTACATAGCCAAGACCCTGCCTCAAAAATGAACACACACACACAGAGTCCTAATTACTTCTTGTTAAATATTTGCTCCAGACAAAGAAAAGAAGAAAAAGTAAATCCTCTCCCATTTTTCATCTTCTCTATCTTGGCCTCAGTGAAAAATTATCAGATACTCACAATTGTGAAGAAGCAGGGCTGCTAGGGATAGAGTCTGCCAGTGTGTGTGACTGCAGTGTAGCATTGTGTATGCTAAAGCCATCATCACTCTCGCTCACAGGGGGTTCGTTATCCATTTCTGACAAATAGCCTTCCCCTTGATCCTCTTCCTTAGGTTCTTCTAGGCTGGCTGCTTCACTGACTCCATCTTCCTCCTCATCCTCACCTGGGGCATCCTTAGACACAGTGCACTCCAGTCAACAAATGCAAGCAAAGCTATCCAGCAAAGCATCATTATACATGATCTGTCTTTTGGGTTAGATGAGTTCTAGAAATGGCCTCACACTATTTTTTTTTTAACTGAGCCCTCTGTCACTTATACTACATCTATTTATAGAACTGTCTAAGTAAAGTAAAGTAATTTAGAACCTGGACAAAGAATAAAACCCAGGATCTATTTAAAAGGAAGAAAAAAAAAAAAAAGCTACTTACTTAAGACTAAGCTAAGAGGCGTTCCTTCTTTCCCCTTGCTCTTGAGAGGAACTCTGACCCTGGGTACAAAGTTATCAAAAATAGTTTTATTTCATGTCTTATCTGATGGAGCAAGCTCACATCACATTACTTTAAGTCTATTACTACTGCTTTAGTCATTCTAAAAAGAAAACTGAATGATGCTCTTTGAATAATCTGGAATGCCTGTATATTCTCCCTGACTTTAGTATTCCTATTCACTCCAAACCACTCTCAGTGTATCAAAGCTTCTTCATGCACTATGTGCAAAGGTCTGCATGATGCTCACACTCTTACAGACAGGAGGCACATGTTGCTATCATACTCCTCCTATGCCAGACTGTCCATTGCAGCTTTTCCCCATGCAACACCTTACCAGTCTCATGACAGAGAGTAAAGCTATGAGTTTACTAAAATTTAAAAAGTATTGCTATAGGAAAATCTAACCACATGGCAAGAGGAATAAAGAAAAGTCTGAAATACCTTTATCTGGCTTCCAAAAATAGTCCCTGATTCTTCTTTCAATGAGTCTGCAGAGGAGAGAAAGACTACCTGAAGATTTTTCCACCTCAGCCTTCCCCGTACTATGGACCATAATTCCTTGCAGCTCTCCTTTCCAGGCTGACCTATTCTATCTCCTCTACTTGCCCACAACCCACAAACCCTCAGAAGCCAAAGCAAAAAAATTTCAAGTTAGTTACAGAGTACAGATTTCCTGTCTTTTATTTACCTGATATTTCAAACTTGTGCTGTGTCTCTGCCTCTAAAGGATCTTCAATGAGATTTGAGTCATGTGATGGAGACAACATGCTTTCAGGGGATGCCTAAAGACCAAAAAAAGAACAAGCATCCTAAGGTATTGGTAAACTGCTATAGCTCCCATATGTTGTTCTTCACTCTTAAGACTACAGAAGAAATTCTTAAAAAAAAAAAAAAAAAGAAATTCTAAGTCTAGCTCACGTACTGATTCTAACGGCCACTTTAACAAAGACAAGTGTATATATATAGCACTGATCATAATCTATGGGCTTTGGATATATGAAACATGTCACTTCTTAACTAAGTTATAATCCTCCATCTCCCCAGCCCCGGATCTTATTAAATACCTCTGTCTTCACAGATGTAAGCGGCACCTCATCAGTTTTCCCACTGGAACCATTTGCTTCACCAATCTCTCCAGTTGCAGCACTTCTGGGCTCTTCATCTAATTCTTGGCTCCTGAGTTCTGGTGGCTCCATACTTGTGGCTGGAACAACTCCAGACACTATTTCAGCCCCTGAAATGCCTGGCTCTGGTTCTGTAGGTTCCACCTTGATCTCAACACCAGACTCCCTGATGTCCACCAGTTCATGGAGTCCCTTGTTTTCTGTTTCCTCAAAGTCCAACCTCTCTTGCTTGACTGTCATCTCTGGTGTAGGGAGAGGTACTGGCTTGTCCCGCTCCTGCTGGATCGGATGCTCCCAGGGGCCAGGTAGGGACTGGGGATCATCATTCTCTTCACAGAATGACAGTGCTGCTTCCACAGCTGCCACATCCAACACTTCAGGATGATCATCTACCTGTCCCATAATATAGACTGTTGAGATCAAAGAAAGAAGCCCAAGACCCTCAATTCTGTTAGCACCAAATGATATGGCCTGCATCTGCAGCTTCTCTCTCCATCTTCTCCATATAATGGAAGGAACCAATGAACAGGCACCTGTCCTGTGCCAAGCAGTACTGTAAGGATGGTTGGAGAGATAACTAGTATGGGAGTACCAAAAGGCTTTCAGACTATAGAGATCGAGATGGGCAGAAAAGTTATCACTAATTCTTACTAGTGGAAAGCAAAAAGAGAGAAGCCTATGTAGTACCTATGAGAGACTCTGTGGTGTTTTGCTGAAATGATTACCTTATCCTCAATGATGGCAATGATGTCTCCAACAGTCTCGAAGTCCAGTTCTTCACCTGTGTAAGACACAGCAATATCCATCTTCTCAGCCAGATCTAAGTCTTCCTTCCCATCTATGCTGGGAGCCTTTGATCCTCCAGAGGTCTCTGCTACCCCTGATCGGAAACACTCTTCTTTGATAGAATTAATAATCATGGAGATTTCACTGCTGTCCATGGAAACAGTCACAGTATGTGGATCTCCCACAGCTTCCATAGGAACACAGGTATCAGGCTGACTCACTGAATAAAAGGAAGAAAAACGGCATCTCAGAAACTTACGGGGTACTAAGTGACCACACAGAGATCACACCAGAGCTGTAGACAGGTATCAAGGACCCACACACACTTAAGTCACTAACTCCTATCTGCCTGTATTTTCTTCTCCCCAGTCTTCTTTAGAAAGTAAAATAAAGAACATATTCTTAAGACTGCTCATATTTGTACACTTAACTGTTTTATCCCAACACAAATACCCACCCATATCTTTGTTTTCTAAGGATAAAGACAGCACAAGTCTACAGAGAAAGAACAGAAGCATCTGAACTGGAGCTAATCTTTTGGTCATCTTTCTTCAACTGAAACTCAAAATGAAATTTTGGTCCTAGCAGCTGCTCAGGGCGTGGGTCAGGGACGCACCTGGAGCTACACTTTCAGGAGTGGAGACAGCCGGAGCAGAGGATGGTGCTGGCAGCGCAGGCATCATGACAATGGTAGCCTGGGAGACAGACTCTACAGGGGGTGGCACAAGTTTAACTGGAGGCTCACTGGCAACAGTAGTGAAGGAAGCAAGAGGTGTGGTGAACTGTGTAGGACCAGCTTCTAAAAGCCGGGAAAGAGTGGGAGCACCTAACAGACAAAGAGGTACACAAAATGAGATAAGAAGAAAGCATATGAACAAGAAGCAATAGCCACTTTAAGACTCAATCAAGAAAATATTTTATAGTCTCAAAGGATGAAAGCAACTGTAGTGTTGAATCAGATAATCATCTATAGTCTTATTTACTCTAACCTCACCTAAGATCTTCCTCCAACTTATAAATGAACCAAAGTACAACACAAAATATAAGAAAAATGAGTGGTAACTTTTCCTCAGTTACAAGGAACGATAAAACAAAACAAAACAAAACCTGGTATGAATAACTCAGTCACTTTCTCTAAGGTTCAGTATATTATGAACCACCCAAGTTCAACACCATTTAAATACCAGTATTTAATGTCTATGTATTTTGTAAAGCTTTTTTCTCTTTACATTTTTTACCTCATTTTATCCTCACCATATCCTGCTAAACTACACACATCACAATTAGTGAAACAGAAAAATGAGTCTCAATAATTAACTTAGCTACCCAATGTTAAGAAAGCCTAAGATTCAAGTCCAGATCTCTGGTTCCAAATCTCTTTCCCCTTTTCTACAATTTCAAGTATCTTTAGCACCTGTCCACAATTTTGCAAGCCAAGAGAAGCTTCTTCATGAACTTTATTGTTACTCTGGTCAACATCTATGACATGGTCAATCACTATTTGCACTATCTATCTATCTATCTATCTATCTATCTATCTATCTATCTATCTATCTCTTTTTGGTTTTTTGAGACAAGGTCTTGCTTTGTAGTGCAGGCTGGCTTTGAATTGAGGTGATCCTCCCACCTCAGCTTCCCAAGAGCTGGGATCACAGGAACAAGCCACTATGCCCAGCTCAATCCATCAATGTTTTAAAGATGGAATAGATTAGTAATCTCAAGCACTGTGTTGCTTAACAGGTAAAGTAGCTCCAAAACAAAGTCAGAAAAAGTAGTTGAGCTTTAAATCTAGGACTAACAACTGTTTAACAACAAACACTGAAATCAGGTTTATTATCTCTGAAATACATAAAAGATATAGTGACTTACCTGAGGCAGCAGGGGAGGCTGCAACAGTATTGGGTGTTTGCTGTATCTCCCCACCATGAATCATGGGAAGGACCCCGCCTACCTCCAGAAGGACACCCGCACTGTTCAAGTGGCCCGAAGCCACAGCCATTTCACTCTCATTGACCTACCAGGAAGAATAGAGGTGAAGGCTACACTCAAGCTTTCCTTTACTACCACTTCCCAAAAAAGCTGCAGCAGTCAATTAAACCTCTTGAAAACTAAAACTTACTATCCACAGAGAATAATTCAAGACCCATGGGAAACTCTAAACTATAATGTTCAGAACTTATTTCACAAGAGTTCTCTGGGAAAGAAAATGAAAATAGTTGTGGTTCTGATTATTCAGGATCCAAGGATACTATTAACTTACTGCATTATTATTATTGTTGTTGTTGCTGTTATTATTCTTTTGTTAACATTTAACTAGGACATTTCTTCCCTTTTGAGCTTTTTTTTTTCCATGTCACATTTTAGGTCCCAGGCACTCCCTTCCAAGTACTAAATCACCACAGCTCTCAAACACCCACAGAAGTCTCCATACCAGTCTGGGGCTGGTAGGCAGGAGGCTGCCTTTCTTCAAGAGCTCTGACAGCAGAGGGGAGGGGGGTGGAGTTGCTTTCTGTCCAAGCATCTTTTTCTGGGGTGAATCATCTGTTACTGGGGTCATGGGGGCTTCTAAGGGTGCAGAGCCTGGAGGAAGGGTGTCAGGAATCCCAGGAAACGAGGTGACTGGGGTATTCGGCAAAGTCCCAGGGGTTACCTAAGAGACAACAGAGAACCTTTATCTGACTTCTCAAACTATGGAAGGTTCCCTCCTAATCTGGTTGGGTTAGTGTATCTATTATTTTACTAGTTCTGAGTGGAAATGCCCAGAAACCCTCTATCCCTCCTATTCTTAGTTATACTTCTCCACAATATTTTCTCTTTCACCCACAATGACCCAACCATTCCATCTGATCTGCCATTTATAAATTCCTTACCCCCTACCAGTATTATGTTTATAAGGAAATTATCCCTTGTTTCAGCAGTAAATATACTAGTATAATTTGCAAATAATTCTTGAACATAGTCATTTACCTATCTCTCAAAAGAGCTTCTACGTACACCCTTATCTTAGATCACAGTACATGGTAAATTAAATCTTTAGCATTCAGACCAAGAAATGAGTTGTCTCTAAGCCAAAAGTAGTTTCCTCATCACTCAGCTCTCTGCTGGCTTACTGTACTTCACTGGTCAATTTCAATGGATGAAAATATACTCACCCCAGAGGCAGCCTCTTCCACAGTGGTTGGAGTCAGGTCCCCAAGGGGATATTCACCTCCTGGGGAGGCTGAATCTATTGGAGATCGGACCATCACAGTGGGTAACCTCCGAGGGGGTGTTTTCACTGCCTGACGAGCTAGAACATAAAAGAGAATATACACTCCTAGTACATTCTTGAGCAACTCCTTAAGATTCTACTTTTAAAAGGATCTTATTTGTTCATGGCATGTATTCCCAGAACTGCCACTGCTTAAGTTTCTCCCCTTATCCAGTGACGGAGCTATTTGCAATCTTTTCACAGCCTTTTACTTCTAAAATCTCAATTATGTTCAGAGTCTTAATATCAAGTTGTTGTGTCCTAAAACTAAATTAGAGGTCTAGTGAGATGTAAGCAGAGATCATTTTTTGAGACTTTTTTTTTTTTTTTTTTTTGGTTTTTCTCCGGTACCGGGAACCGAACTCACGACCTTGCGCTTGCCAGGCAAGCGCTTTGCCGCTGAGCTAAATCCCCAGCCCATTTTTGAGAGTTTCTTCGTGGACATCAAGGCATGTTTTTATGCTGGTAGAAGAACACATGATAGGAGTCTTTTTTATGGGGGGAGACTGGACACTGAACCCAGGATCTCAGGAATACCAGGGAAGTACTCTACCACTAAGCTACACCCTCAGCCCCCAGAGTTACACTTCATGAGGCTCCTATGCAAATGCACATGCAAATTTGTATCCCTTCTTTCTTGTTAACTTGTCTATGTCAGTTTGCTTCAGAGACTTAAATTGTTGAAACTTCAGTTTTTTTTTTTGTTTTTTGTTTTTTGGTTTTTCTCCGGTACCGGGAACAGAACTCATGACCTTGCGCTTGCCAGGCAGGCGCTTTGCCGCTGAGCTAAATCCCCAGCCCCGAAACTTCAGTTTTAAGTCCCCTACAGTTCTGGCAAGCCAGCAAGAGACCAAAACATTCTTCATGCTTCTGAGGTTGCAACTGGGAAATCACAGACTTGATAAAATCAGTAAGAAAGAGGTACATGAAAAAGATAGAAAGAACTCTGACAAGTGTAAGTTTTTGGTAACTTTGGAAACACACTGGTGGAATGGAAATGCCTCTTAATAAATGCCTGCTTATTCAAACCAAGTAAAAGCCATATAAAAGTATGGAAACCATATAAAAGTATGGAAACCATATGAAAGTATGGAATATGAGAACAACCTGGGTTCACACCCTAGCACCATAAAACAAAAAATAAGGGAGAGATGACAGAGAAAAGCTTGCTAGTGACTTCTGTAACAAAACTGTCTTCAACTATCATTAGCATGTAGTACTATAAAGTCAACTGCTCATCAGTGGCATTTGGTTCAGTTTACCTTGGTATGCAGCATCTGTAGCCTTCCTCTTTACTTCAGCCTCCTCTTCCTCTAGCTTCTTTTTCCTAAAGAGGGAAGTAAAGGTTAGATGTTAGCCAGCTCTAGCTCCTCCCCATAGTTCATAGTGCTCTCATGAAGAATTTTTTTTTTTTACCAAATCAGCACATTTTGGGAGAAAGGCCCAACCAGGAATTCTAAATTAGCAAAACAGCCAAGTGGTATGTATTAACTGCCAATTCTTCACTCAGGGAAAAGAGAGGCACTTTTAAATTAGAACTGTTATGTTCTCATATGGAAATGTTCCAACCTATGCCCCTCTAGGCCTCACTGTCCCCCCTAACCACCAAACCACTCTGCAGGTTTGCCTTCTAAGAATCTGTCTCAAATGTAAGGGATGGGAGGCAGAGGAAACACACTAGATTACTTAAGGGGGAAAGAGGTAAAAAGAAAGGAGCACATATAGAAGAATAATATAACCCACATTGCAATGTCACTGCAAAGCTCATCCAGTCTGCTGTCCATGTGTCCGGCTTGAATTAGTTCTGCATCTCTTTTCAACCGTCTGTAGAAAGACAGGTAGGTGGAACAGGCTTATTTTTCATGTCTTTGAGATTAGATCTCACTGTATTGTCCAGAATGTCTCCAAACTCAAGGAGTTAACTGGTTATCCAGCCTCAAATCTCCTAAGTAACTAAGATTAGAGGATTACATGACTGTAATCCCAGCACTTGGGAGGCTGAGGCAGGAGGATGAAAAATTTGGGAACAGCCTGGGATGCACAGCAATTTCAAGGTCAACCTGGACTTGAAATGTTAAGATCAGTACCAGAATTCAGACTCTGTGTTTTTACCAACTATTTTTTACATGCTGCCTGATAAGTACCTGTATCTCTCCTGGGTTTCCTTTATCACTTTCTTTAGTTCCTCAACTCTCTCAGCAGTCAGTTTCCGAACAATAACATCTTCAACGGTTTCTACCACTTCTCCTTTTTCACCCCGTTTCCGTCTGTAAAACCAAACAAAACACCCCCTCCATATTTGAGTAAGAGAACATTTGTTCCCATTCTCCCTTGTTTTCTTGAGTCCTCTTTGTCATTTATTCATGAATTCCCTATACAGTAAGTCCCGGACTTATGGGCATTCAAGTTGTGAACTTCCACAAATACAAATGGGCTCACATTATGAACATTCATAGATGGGAAGAAATCACCAAAGTAGCTCACCTGTCTACTGAACATTGTCACAGTCGTGATTCTGTGTGCTTACTGTACAGTGCAATAGTGTATAATAGTACATTGCTCCATCAGAGTCCAGGACGGTCGGAAAAGGAAAAGCAGTGGTGATGTGGAGGGGACTGCTATCTAGGAAGCATAATACCATAACCATGGAAACAAAAGTGAAAGTAATTGAGAGAATGGACTGAGGCAAAAAGATGGTAGACACTGCTTGTTCATATAACATGAATTGGTCCATCACTGGAGCAATTCTAAAGGACAAGGACAGCTGGGTGTGATGGCATATGCCTGTAATCCCAGCACTCAGGAGGCTGAGGCAGGAGGATCGCTGCAAGTTCAAGACTAGCCTGGACTACAAAATAAGCTTAAGGCCAGCCTGAACTACATAGCGAGACCCTGACTCAAAAAGACAAAAAAAAAAAAAAAAAGAACAAGAACAGTATCATGGAACATGTCAAGTTTTTACACTTTACACTATATATTTGTGTCAAAGGTGTATAAGACTCACTTTGTCAGACTTATGAACAAATGTAACTTATGAAAGTTACATGTAACTCGTTCAGAAGTCGGGGACTTACTCTACTTTTTATTTTTTGTGGGGCAGGAGGTGTGGTGTGTAGTGATGAGGGGATTAAACCCAGGGCCTCAATGCATGCTAGAGAAATGCTACCACTGAGCTACATCCCCAGTTCAATACTTTTACTACCAAGTAATTATATATAAAAGATGTCCTAAGCAAAAAACTTCCCACTGAAGGGATTTGACTAAAGTACCTGGCTTTATACTCACTTTGGGGTCTCAGTGGTCTCCAAGAGCTCTGAGTATTGAGAAGCACAGTGCTATAGAAAAAAATGAAAATGTGATGAGCAGGAGGAGGGGGAAAAGAAGGAAGGGGAAAAAAAGAGAATAGAAGGAAAAAATGGAAACAAAGCTTTTGTAAATAAAGAGAAGAGGGCTTGAAGGGAGAGGAGGGGATTGGGGAAAAAAAAGAATCAAGATATATTATTTACAGATATAAATTCCCTATAATAAATATGATCATTATGCATATCTAAAATGTACCAATAAAATTAACTAAAAAAAAAAAAAAATGTAATGAGCAAACCTTGAAAGTAACAAGCTTTCCAAGTTTCAACAGATTACAGAAGGGAGCTAATAAGTTCAAGATGCATGTGATTTCTACGAAGGCAAATTACTTGCAATTAAATCAGTTCAAAATATTCAATACAAGGACTCTGAAATCTCGCTTAGAGTCTGTGTACTTCAGAAATGCCAACTTAATTAGCATGAGTAATTACTGTAAGTAATTACAACATGTATGGCACTGTGCTAAAACTAAATGTTTTTTACATGTTCTGACAAGCTTAACTGTGACCATGACTGACTTGGAAGTGGACTAGGGTATTAGTAAAGCATATATCTGAGGTGTCTGGGTATGTCATGTCATGGAGGTGTCACCTTGGAATCTGATCCTTGACCCCTTCCTCTCTGGTGCTGTCCTCAGTTCTGCTTTCCTAACTAAAATAAACTGAGCAGCTTTATTCCACCATGACTTTCTGCCATGACTTTCAGGCCATGGACTGAACCCTCTGAAACCAAGAACCAAATTAAAACTCTCCTCCTTTAAGCTGTGGATGTCGAATATTTCTTCCAATAGGAAAACTGACTTAGACAAACGCATTACTTCAAGTAACTTTACAACCATCCTGAAGCAACTCTTACTTCTATTTTATAAATGAGAAAACTGAGGCTCATGGTTCAAAGTTTTTCCATACAAAACTCAGATCTGTGCAACTACCAAGCATGGGTTCTTAATTATTATCTTACATTGAGGAGTTTGAAATATCAAGCATGCATGCATAGATTAGCAAACAGTGGAAAAAAAAGAAAAAAGCATTTTCAACTATTCTCCTGCTTCACGGTATAAAAGCATTGTAATTACTAGGTAAAACTTGATAACAAGCCTACTTCACATCCCACTAATTATGGAAGAGTTTTCACTTGGTAACTTACTTTTTGAGAGAACCAATCTGGAGGGCGGCCAGGTTCTGCAAATGGCTTAATTGCTCTGCTAACTGATACCCTACAAAATGAGGAAAGCTTTGTTACACACCAAATACAGTAAAAGAAGTATGCTGAGCGTTCCAAGTTCAAATTTCAGAATAAAAAGGAGTATCATTTACATATATATATATATATGTTTGTTTTGCTTTTTGAGACAGCATCTCACTATGTAGTTCAAGCTGGCCTCAAACTTGTAGTGAACCTCCTGCCTCAGCCTCTCAAGCACTAGGACTATAGACATGTACCACCACATCTGACTTTGGAATATCTTTTTGTTTGTTTGTTTGTTTTGTTTTTTTTCCGGTACCAGGAACCGAACTCACGACCTTGTGCTTGCCAGGCAGGCACTTTTGCCACTGAGCTAAATCCCCAGCCCCTGGAATATCTTTTATTTATTAATCTTTTAATGAGACAGGGGCTTGCTAATCTGTTAAATTGCCCAGACTGGGCTCAAACTTGTAGTGATCCTTTTACCTCACCCTCCAGAGTGCTGGGATTATAGGCATGTACCATCATGTCAGCTTAGTTGGGTTCTTTTAAAAAAGTTCTGTCTTGGGCCAGGCATGGTAGCACATGCCTATAATCAGAGCCCATTAGCAGGCTGGGACAAGAGGATCACTGCAAGTTTGAGGCCAGCCTACACTATATAGTGAGTTTAAGCCCAGCCCAAAATACATAGCAAGACTCTGTCTTAAAAACAAATGAAAATGTTCTGTCAGAATGCTTGTCTAGAACGCAAGTGGCACTGTGTTAAATCCCTAGTACTGCAAAAAAGAAAAGTATTAATACAAAGAAACTGGTAAAAATGAAAATAAACTCAGGTAGGCTCAAGGAAGAGTAGAAAAGGATTTCAATTGTATCTTTGTTATATTATTATATGGACAGCTATCAGAAAAAAGTTTGATCCATACATCACATCTTATGCACAAAATTCCAAATGGTTCAAAAGATTAAAAATATTTTAAAAATCAACCATGCAAGTATTGGAAGTTATAATCTCATACTGGAGAAATTTATAACTATGTCACAAAATGCATAAAAGAAAAATATTAATACACTAATTTAAAAAGACAATGTAAAAAAAAAAAAAAACACAGTATAATACCACAGGTAATTGGCATATTGCTTTAAAAAGCAAAAATGTACCTCACTGATCAGGCAAATACCTCCTTAATATGTACGGGATCCTCTCCATCCTAACAGACAAAGACTAATGATACAATAGAGAACTACAAAAAGTTCATAGAAAAGGAAATATAAGCAGCTCTCTAACATCTGAAGATGTTCCACTTTGCTAAAATAAATGCAAATTAATGATGAAATGTTATTTCTCACATGTTATATTATTGTCAAAGACCAAAAACATCTATAAGACAGGATGTAAAAAAAACCATGGTGGCACATGCCTGTAATCCCAGTACTCAGGAGGCTGAGGCAGGAGGTTCACTGTGAATTTGAAGCCAGTCTGGGCTATATAAGCAAGTTCAAAGCCAGCCTGCACTACACAGTGAAACCCTGTCTCAAAACAAAATAGAACAGATACTGGAAGACAGAGGAGTGGTAAGGAACAGAGAAAGAGCCTCTCTGAAACTTGCTGTCCAGACACCAGAATGTAATAACATGAGGAAGAGGAGGAGGGAAGTGAGTTCCCTCCACCCAGGAAGGATCTGAAGCCAGAACTGAAACCCACAGAAAGAGTAAAGAGAGAAACTTCAATACAGAAGAAGGAGGTAGCACGTAGCACCTTCTCCCTGAGCCAGCAGTCACTGCATGGGAGGAGCAGTTCAGTGACTGCTGCTGGCAATCCCAGTGGCCTTCATGGAAAGACACAGCGGAAGAAAGGAGCAGTGGACATGGAGGACTGCACTGTGGTGGTGAGTGCTGTGGGATCATATATCCCACAGGAGAGGGCGGTTGCCTGGGAACCATTCTGGAGAGAGGCCAACTGAGCTCAGAACTCAGAACAACTGCTGGGCCCATCTAATAGCTCCCAGCTGAGTTCAAGCCTGCAGAAGTTGCACTGACTGCTGCAAGCTGAACTGGTCTGCTCCCAGCCTCAGAGCCAGAAAGCAGTCTGAACTTCAGTGGAAATAAAGGTACAGCTCACTTAGGTAACCCACTACCCCAACATAAAGCTACTGCTGGCTTGCTGGGATAAATTAACATGGATTTGGACTCTGTTACCACACGCTGTCTACAAGTGACAGCAGGGACAAACTTTGAGGGGTCTTTTTTTTTTTTTTTCTTAATTGTTTGATCTTGTTTTTATAAATATGAACACGGTTTCAAGGTTCTTTGTGGTTGTTTTTCCCGTTCTGGCTTTCCTTTTAATTCTTCCTTCTCTCTTTCCCTCCTGTCTTCTGCACCAGTTTCCCAAAGTTTACATGATCCTCCTTTGTCCTACAGTCTTGCTTCTAATCTCTCCCTCTTCTTCTATTTGTCTTTTTTTATTCCCCCAATCTCTTTTAAATTTTCTCCCCCAAGGGTAAAATTGGCAGACTGAGGGCTTATTTACTGCATACAATTTTCTGGTTTGTTTTAGATTTATCATATAACTACAAATCTAGTTCATACAGTTAAAAGTGGTAAATTGATGGTTACCTCAGTTTGTCATTTTCTAGGCTGTGTTTGATGCTACTGTTATTGCTGATGGTACCACTTTGGCCAAGGTGACATAACTGCTCTAACTAGCTGTCCCTTCTGGTATACCAAGACTAAGATTGCCTACGGGTCATAGGAAATACTGTCGGCCAGTGCCAAAGAACAAGGGGCTGGGCCAAGCAGGCAGTAACTTCTCAACCTATAAAAATTGAATAGGCAGGATTTTGCAACAGATTCAAAACCCAAAAACCATATACACCTGGAAGATACCTCTAAGAAGTAGTCATTTCCTAACAGTTCTAAATACCAGCAATAAAGCAACTCACCATAGGCAATTTACAAGCATCAACCCAGGAATTAAAAAAAGAAAAGAAAAAAGAAGACGACACCCAGTTACCAAAGACCAACCCAGGGGGTAATGAGGCAGGACAATCCAAAGGCCACAGGCCTGGCCTCTCTGAAGTGGTAACAACAAAGCAAATGAATGAGGCAAAAAAAAAAAAAAAAAAAAGTCAAATTAGAAATAATTTCTCAGATAACTACAGAGATGGTGACAATGAAAAACACACTTAGTGACTCCAGAGAACATACAAATAAAAAGAGGAGCTTAGGAAAATGATGGAAATCATGAATGCCCAACAGAGCAAAGAAATGGGATCCATCAAACAGATTCAATCAGATAACCAGGAGACTAAAAATCCCAATGGAAGTATTCACAGCAGCACAAACCAATGTGAGGACAAAATCTCATACATAAGACAGACTTGTGTTTAGCAATCATCAAAAGAAAGATTTCTTGTACCCCCCGCCCAAAAATAAAGAAAGAAAAAAGAAAAGAAAATCTTAATCAGGGTCAGGGATATAGCTCAGCAGCACAGCACCTGCCTGATAAGTGGAAGGTCCTGAGTTCAATTCCTGGTACCAAAAAAAAAAAAAAAAAAAAAGGAAAGGCAGATTTCTTAAAAATAGTAAAGGACAATGAAAAATCAATCCAGCTACTGCTAGATGAACTAAAGAATAGCGTAAGACTGACTACAGTCAATAAAAAGCAAGAGATAGCACAAATGATATATATTTAAAAAAAAAACAACCAAAAAAACCTGTTCATGGAAGTCATGGCAGAAAACTTTCCTGGCAGGGAAAAAGAATCTGACATACAGTAAGTGAGGCATATAGAACTCCAATCAGCCATGATCAAAAAAAAAACCTATAGCCAAGCACATTATAGTCAAGATTCCAGAAATAACACAACAGAATATGAAAACCTGTTAGGGAAAAGAAACACATTACCTACAAAGGAAAGCCCATCAGAATCACAGGCTGACGTCTCAACACAAACTCTTACATCAAGGAGAGCTTTGAGTAAAGTATTTCAAGCCCTAAAGGAAAACCTTCATCCCAGATTGATGTACCCCACAAAACTATCTTTCAAAATTTATGAAATAAGATACTTCCATGACAAAGAACACCTGAGTAAATTTATGACCACCAAACCAGCAGTCCAAAATGTTTTGATGGACATTCTAGAAAGAGATAACAAGGACTAGAACTCCATGAACCCCAACAGAATGGATCCACCAGGCAAGGCAAACAATTAAACTAAAGCGGGGCAGAGAGCCACCAACAAGAAAATAACATCCCAAGGACAAGTCAATACATATCAGTTATAACTATCAATGTTAATGGTCTCAATGCACCAACCAAAAGAAACAGACTGGCGGAATGATCAAGAAGCAAGATCTAACAATATGCTGCATATAAGAAACACATTTAATTCAAAAAGAAATTCATAGACTGAAACTCAAAGGATGGAAAACAATACTCCATACAACAGGAACCCAGGAAAAAGCAGTGGCAGCTATTCTATTTGCAGACAAGTGGAATTCAAGCGAAAACTTATTAAGAGAGACAAAGAAGATCACTACATCCTTGTAAAGGGAACAATCCAGAAGGAACAGATAACAATCTTTAAAAAAAAAAACAGGTACTGGGAGTGTGAACTGAAAATCTGAATACATCAACTTGAAATACTTACCAAATCTTACAAACATATATAATCTTTGATCCACCAATTCTATATTCAGTTTATCTTGTAATTTATATGTAACCATGTAAGGTTACATTTGCATCAGCAATGTCCATCAATAGGATATATAGCAAATGTGCAAAGTTTCATTAAACTATGTTTATACTATTTCATGGTGTAGTCATAAAGCAGACCATCATGCGGCTGTTTAAAAAATGGGGGAAAATGAGACACATGTTCATAGTAGACATACAACCACCACTAAGATTTAAAACTAAATGAGAAAAGAAACGGCAGCAGTAGAAACAAGGAAAAGAACAAGTTTAGGAGCCAGTGTGGTGGCACACCCCGGTAATCTCAGCACTTCGGAGGCTGAGGCAGAACTCCTGCAA